CCCCGAACCTTGCACCGTCTGACTACCATTTTCTTCGGTCTCTTCAAAACTTTCTTGATGGTAAAAAATTGACCAATCGAAGAGCCGCTGAAAATCACTCGCCCAAGTTTTTCGACGATAAACCACAAAAGTTCTACACCGATGGAATTATGAAGCTTTTCGAAAAATGGCAAAAGGTCATAGATAATAATAGCCAGATAGACAGAAAGAAGTACGGGGGCACCAAAACATCGACACGGGCAAAACTGGTATCGCCTCACTGCACTAACCATCTATAGAAGTGCAGCCTGACGGATCACGCTAACGCCATGCTCGGGCATTTATTTACATTACAGCATTCATAATATACAGTTATATATTAATGGTGCATAATTTGCATTGCAGACAATATTGTCTAAGATATACTTTACACGGGTACTTTGCAGTTGGATTGATAAATACAATAATTTTAATAAGTTATTTACAGATGTATATACATATTTCTTTTGTGTTTCGGTTTGGAGCTTTATTGGCGAGTGGAAGTGATTATGGTACGTGGTTCGTTGTTTGTTTGATTTTTTGTTACACTCAAAGTTTATAAGTTCTCGGTATGTACTTGATTAAAACTGATTTTCAATAAAGAAAATTTTTGTTCAAAAATGTACGAAAAAAGCGCGGAGACTTTTTATACGGCCCAATAAATTTTTCTACCACTAGGCCAGATGTTTTAAAATTAAGTATAAAAAGACGTCTTCATAAATATAAAACATTTCTCGTAACATGCATATACCTACACATCTTTCTCTCTCTATATATATATACATAAATACATATAAATGACTGTTTGTTTGTCTTTTATACAAATCTACAGTTTAATTCCGATCTCTATGAAACTTGCCCCACTCGAACTTTAAAACAAGAGGAAGCTCACTGTCTACATAATACGAGTATTTCTCAAAAACCAGCTCATGGGATCCTCACTTTTTATAAACTTATATTTTATGCTAATTTTGATTAAAAACTCCACGATTTAAAAGTTTGTGTTGCCACTCTGCAATGTGTAAGATATAATATGTTTCAAATTTAATCAGAAATCTCGGCGATATAAAAAATAGTGTAGCCTTTCCGGAAAACGTAATGATATTACTTTGTCTCGAATTTAATAAACAAACTCGGCTATGTAAGAGAAATGTGTTGCCACTGCCGAAATTAAAATATTTTAAAGTGTGTTATCGTTCAGCAAATGCATTTTCTTTTCTTTTTTAAAGTGATTTTGTAATAGTCGCCTCAAAGCATTACTTTCGCTGGGAAATTACTTATACCATCAAAACGAAATTCGACTACTCGATCTACACCTCAAGCACGAACGAAAATGGATCACGAGCTTCGGAAACAAAAGAGCAATGGGAAGGAAGATTGAAAAAACGCTCGAGTACGCAACTGGCTCAATACCGTTTGTCTGAAGCAGAAGAACAACGCGAAGCAAGTCTGGAAAACGCATTATTCCATTCAGATGAACACTGCACGTTGATTAAAATCTTGGTGCATTCCATTACAATGCTAATTATCATTACAGTCTTCATACAAGTGTGACTGTTGCGGAAATGGATAAATTATTATGCACGTATTGGAGAGCTGTCAAATTTTAATTGACGAGTGCCCAACGCATTCGAAGGCTAGCCAGTAACGGAAGGATATCTCCGTGCATGATTTTTTGGTACTTTTCCGTTCTTCCGGCGTCGGCGATAAAGTCGCCAATAATGGTACAACTGATGCCAAACGGAATATCTTCGCTGGTAACCTTTTATGCCTCATTTTCAAAACAAGTAGCAACCATTTCTTATCAGATTGGTTGTTTCTTTCAACACTGGCATACAATTACATAGAATTTTTACCAGATAGTTCAATTTTATGCCTTAAGGTCATTCGCGGTAATTAAGTCAATTAGGATGTAATCACATAGCTCATTCGAAGGCTAAAATATAGAAAAGGCAAAATCAAGGGTTAAATTCATTCATTCTAATGAGAATGCACCAGCGAAATAAAGCACCGCGGTTTTACATAATTTCTGAGTAAGCTATTCGTACGAATTGAAATAATTCTTGCATTTAAACTTGTATTCCAAATTGAGATTTGATATTTTTGTAGCGTAGTTTACGTGAGATGAGATCACTTGGGGTCACGTGATACGAATCAGCGAATCAGGATGTTGAACCATGAAAGCATACTAAATTCTTAAACTAATGTTATTTTACAAATTTATTGTCTTTATTTATTGGCTTTTTACAAAATTTTAGACGATATTAAAATGTTTATGCCTTCAAAATAAAAAATTCTTAGAACTAACATTTGTTAACATTTTTTATGTGTATACTGTATGTTGTCGCCAATAAAGTCTGCTTGGCGAGATTTGCACCGGTGAAACGGAAAAATACCGATTTTTTTTTATGAAATTATTCGATTCGATATGCATCACAAAACATGATTTTTTTAAATTATCCTACATCCGCATCATATAATGAAAGCTATAAAAGTCCCACTTGATGAGCCCATCTGCCAGACAGACGGCATTAGGTGAACTATTATAGATTAGGAACTTCAGCCACTCGACTACAGTTAAGTACTCATATACTTAGGAAGTACTTAGATATTCAAAATTTCCATATATTTAAGTATTACTTACCCAAGCATCTACAAAGAAGTATGTACTGTATACTCTGCAAAATATTTATTCTGTCTGCTTTTCTTAATACAAAGAATTTCAGTATCAGTTCTTTTCAACAGGTCTTCCTTTGCAGAATATCCTGAGTTAGACATCATTATTTGAGGTTCACATTTTCGTACTCAAACTGGAACTGTTCTTAGATTGAAACAATATTTTGTTCATATACTGTAACAAATTCACCACCTGTCTCACTAGCATTTCTCTTACTTTGAAATAAAAGATTATTACATGACGAAAATGAATTTTTGATCGTGCAGTTTTAATACTGCATTGAAAGAAAAATAATGCTACATTGCACGCAAAATTAACACAGTGTAAACAGGATTGGTTTTAATATGAGGTCGAACCAAGATCACTCCTTATCAGTGGAAATAATATAAAATAAAATAAAAATCTGTAAGGTTTGAGATTTTATAGCCTAAAAAGGTTTGCTAAGGATTTTACGCTTATCGCAGACTACCAGTCTGCTGTCATATTTATTCCTGGTAACCCATTATTTTTGTCTTTTTAGTTTTATTACTAAGTATTGTTTTCTTAGCACTTAACGCCACATACAATTCAAAAGCAAAATCACAAATCTTTTTTAAAGCGGAATATGTTTATAATTCCTGATGCAGTGTTATGTTGGCAAATATTTCAACTATTTTTTAAGCCTTTCCTCAAGGCAATATATCAGGGTTCAATTTCCTCAATAAGATGGCTTACAAAACCTTTTTTTCTGTCTTTTTATCATTAACCTTTTGAGTGTTAACTTTAATTATCACGTTCACTTACACGACATAAAATTCAATTCAACATCATAATCACAAAATGTTTTAAAATGGCATATCTTCAGAATTTCCGATAGAATGTTAGATGTTGCCGTTTATATTTTTATATTAACTGTATTATTACTTCAAAAATCAGCGATCGCACGACCAGCCGCCTAAACTTGTTACTTAAAAAAAGGTATATCGTCATTTCAAGGAGTTCATCTAACGTAATTTCATAAAAATATTGAATATTTCTAATTAGACATCTCATGACTTTAATGCATGTTTATTTAAATCAACACATTAAAAGGTCGACAAAAAAACATTCTTAACTGTGTTTGTTGCTTTTAAATCTCTAAGTTTATATTTATTAAGTAACCTTCCGGATTAAATTCAAAATGTTTGAACTTTTACTGAGTGGCAACACGCTGACACGTGGAAGATAAAAGAACGTTACTTCCGGGCGCAGCAACCCAACAACACAATTCTTTCATAGAGCTCTGAGTTTATTAAGTAAAACTGAAAGATAAATAGCTTACATTTTCCCGAATGGTAACAGTGTTGCACCCTGAAGATAAAGTTGTTTTATCTCGGGTAGGGTTGCCACTGCTCGCTTTCAAATCCTTGAGATTGTTAAGAAAAAATTAAGAAAAAATCCTTAAATGTTTACAAAATATGAAGCAAATAATAAACGAAATTCCAAATTCGAGCACATGTTCAGAGGCAGGACTGCGTTATTCAAAGTTTGATGGCTCTAAGTACCATAGTTTTTTTCTCATTGCGAGGAACATACATACATTCATGCAGATTCTTCATTATTTAATTCCTTAAAAAATAGGGCCCACCAGCGACCGAGCAGTAAAGTACGCAACTTACGCAAAATTCCATTTCGAGACTATTGGCCCCCTTTTGGGCATAACAAAAAGTAGAGAGAAATGCGCTTTGATTACTAAAAAAACCTCAGAACTTTACGAATGACTCAATAGTATCCAAGTTTTTAATTGGATTTTCTTATAGCAACAATTTCTATATTGCAGTATGTAATGATGTAAAACAATTCTTAATGCATGCTTACATAAATTTTAACTTGAAGCAGCAAACATTTGTTGCTATAGAATATTATATAAGTATAAAAGGTAAACAGAAAATACTTTAAACCGTATTAAGAGTTGCTTTTACTTAGCAGAGGCTTTTATTAATGTTCATTTGCAATGATGTAAATAGTCAAACGAATTTTGAAAATTAGCACAATGCAGCAAGTAAATAATCTGCACATTCCTTTCATCTATTCTTGTTTGAACAAATGTTATTAGTAATACCAACTAAAATTGAAGCATGGAAGAAATTTTACGTCTAAAAACTCCATATTCTCTTTATGTTTTACAACGCTTTTGAATTATTATGATGTATTAAACCTAACTTTAAATTAATATATGATTAGAGATTTTTCCTTTAAAAACAAATAATAACAACCACAGATAAAATTAACTATTCATAAATAACCAAATTAACCTCTTTTCAGTAAGAAAATTTAATTAAATTAAACAAATTTTTTTCGGACTTGATAGCTGCAGCAATAAAAACATCACACTAAAATTTTAATTACTAAGCACTTAATATTGGATCTTCTTAATTGAGCAGCGTACTAAAAATCATAATGATGAAGATTGATTGAAGTTTTATGCGAAGTTTAATTGGAATTCTTAGCCAGAGCATGTCACTGAATTACCACATTTTAACGACCTGTCTAGGTTGAGTAAATATCTAAGTATCATATTAGTTCACAATTTCGTAATGCGTTTTGGCTTTAAGCTGCATTATTTTTTCGTTTCTTAAAAACATTCTTGTTATATTTTAGTCAATTCATTATAATTTCATGAGCGGATGCTATTTCGAAAAGTATTTACTGTATAAATGTTAGTTTTACGACATTCTGAGCATTAATTTGAAGTTTCACAATCAGTAGTCACTTAATATACAAGAGTGTTTTTCAAATAGGATTAACAAAATACTCCGTAAAAGTACATAAAACCAAACAATTTTCCCGGACTTTTTAACTCAGTGTTCTTTTTTTATTTCTTTCTCTTTTTTAATCCTTCTTCCTCTCTTTTTTTTATCCTTTTATCCTTCTCTCTCTTTTCGTCTTTCTCTGAGCATTCCCTTGAAGTTTCTGCAGCGTCCTCTACACTTCACACATTGGTACACCAAATGTCCTTTCAACGTAATCATATATTGTCTAAAAAAAAGAGGGAAACGTTTAAGGTAGTTATGTCACTCATATTGCATCAAATTGTTAATTAAAGCTTTTTACGTCATATGAAAAATGGAAAGTAAATTGGTAAAGATTTCTCAAAACATTTAAACTGACAAATCTCGAAGCATTCACCGCTACGTACATGCAGTGGTGTGTACTGAAAGAACACGTTGTTCAAGAACATTGGATATCACTGCCAAGTGTGGATTTCTTTCCATTCGAAGAGAGACATGAAACTACACTCAATCGGATCAACATGTGTGAATGTTTTCGACTGACATAATTTGGTATAGTTCTTATAACAATGCGTGAATTAATATTTGTATAAACAAATGAGTATTTAAATGTGTATTTAAAAAGTGTTTACTCAGACAAATAATCCAAAAGTATGCTTATTGATCATATATTTCTCAATCTCCTGTACTGACTTTCGGAACCGTAACTCCTGCATAGACCCCACTAGTAGTTAAAGTAGCTGCATTTGGGGAGTTAGCTTTAGGATCTATTCCAGGTGAACGGGCTGGCTGCGTGGTAGAATTTCGTGGTTTTCCCCGTGTGTAACGTGAATACAAGCCATTTTCCTTAAAACGTCGTCCACGAAGGCTTCCCTTCCTTAAAGAGCTGTCGTGCACTTTGCCGTATCCCAATAACTAGCCTAACTCCTGCCTAGATCTTCCTGGGACTCACAAGTAAGTGACAATTGGGAAACTACGATATAAGATGAGATTATTTCAAGTTTAGATGGTCATTATGGAACTAAACTCAGAGGCTACCTACCTTAGGAGAACTGTCGTGGAGGACATTCTGAAGGAAACTGGCCCGCACTTTAATTGCGTAAGAAAGAAACACCAAAGGTTTCATGCAGCCAGCCGGTTCTTCTAACAACGGTAATTGATCCTGAGATTAAACGCTGGACGGTAAACTCTGGTGAGATTTTCCTTACGTCATAAAAAGGAGTATGCTGTTCTGTCAATTAAAACTATGTTTTATGTCTTGGTAAACCTCAAGAATTTATTTAATTACTTGATATAAATACTGGTATATTTATAAATATTTTTCTTATTTTAATTCCTAAATATTTGTACGTGCTTTTAAGAATAGGATTTTACAAAAACGGTTATTTCATCACTTTGTTTGTTTTGTTTTTGTTTTTTTTTTTAATTAAAGGAACAAGCATAATATTTTGTCATTAATAGAACAGTACAAGGCTAGAAAAGAATGGCACACCAAGTAAACCCGAGAATATAATAAACTCAGAAACATTCCTCATGGTTTCATTTGATAGCTAATACTCGAAGAAAGTGCTATATGCTTTTCTAGGAACTAGACTTAGAAAATATCATTATTTACAATAATGATATTCAAAATAATGATATTCAATTATTATAAATAATAATATTCTCTAAGTTGTTTAATTGAACAATTAATTTCCATCCCCCGACTTTCTCTCAACCAGACGCGTTTTGTCTTCCAAATGGCCTGTTATCGTCAAACTAAAGGATTAAATATGGGGAATCCTCTTAATCCTATTCTCGAGAATATCTATTTTGAATTAAAAATGTTTGAGAAACTTAACTTTCCCTTCTGCATCCATTATGTCAGTGACACATTAGTTGTTTTTCAAAGCAATAATGTTTATTTACCGTAAATCCTCACAACTATGAATTCTGTAAGATCAAACCATCCAATTCACTTAGCTTGGAAAGTCCAATTTTCTTTCATTTATTTACATTCTCACACACAATTCTCGTTCTGATACCTCAGTATATCATAAACCTTTGTTAATTTGTCTTCCATGTCATACCTGAACTTGTCATTTGCTGCCCAAAAGTTAGTCTATTCTGCACATTTAACTTTTGTGCCCTCAAATTTTGTTAGTCAAAATTAGCCTTTTCCAGAAACCATTTTAGAGCCATTGCAGTTGACAGAGGTTTTACGGCTTTAAGTATTGACGTCAAGTATATTCCAGTTCTAAAGCAAAATAGCATTCTTTTCTTCAATCAATATAATAATTTAATCGGAATGTCTTCCTTCGCCGCGCCCAATAACGGCCGAGAGGGAAGTCCCTAAACTCTAGTAGTTCGGTTCGAAATTCGAATCCTGCGCACAGGCTGTCTGCATAGGCGTTTTCATGGTTTTCCACATGTGTAGCGTGTATACAAATCAGTTTCTCTTAGAAAATCCTCCATGAAGGCTATCCCTTTCTTTAAGCAGATATTCCTTAAGTGCTTTGCTATAATCAAACAAACCAAACCGTCTTTCTTTCCCACCGTACGCTACGAAACGAAATCATGGCATCGTTTTTTTACAGGAATTTAACTTTCGAGTTTATTTTTTCTGTCAATAAAATACGCTAGTTATGTTTTTAAATCTCTTTCATATGAACTCTTGGGCACTTTTTAGCATTTCTTTTCAGTGCCGCTTGAAGTACATTGGAAAACAAATTGAGCTTAAATTTTGAATCATAGAGTATGAATCGTAAGTTCGAAACAAAGAAAACAAATAATTATTCTGTCATCCAGAACTGGACTACTAGCTTACAGATTAAGTTTTGCTTCTGCCAAAATCATTCAAAATAAACCTTCTTAATTGGTTTATTAGATTTCTTTGAAGCTTTTCATATCCTTAAAAATCTTGGTGTGTTGATCTATGTGCAGAATACCTTATGTTAATTAACCAATTATTATGATTTCGGTCTTTACTTTAACTTCTCCTTTCCGCATTCCTCACTACAATACGAATTAGTTTCATGTGTATTTAAGCTGAGGTTTTTGGATTTTCAGAGAGCGAGTATTTCTGTCATTGCACACTTCTTTGTTAGCTTCTACCAGCTCTAGCAGTTATAATTATCTGGGCCTCGCGTCTCTCGCCGCCTATATTTATTCTGACTCGCCGGTTAATTATTGAGCCAGCTTACTATTTAATTGTGTAGACTCCGGATGAACGTCTAATATGAATTGGCTGTTCTTATGTCAGTTTTCCATTTCCACCGGCTATGGTTATTCTAGCACGAAATCATGGTTTTATATTCCAAGTTCTGTTTAAATAGAAAGTTGTTCCATAGCCTTCCTAAGACTTTGTTGCTCTGTCTCAGACATAGCGATAACTCTCTTCAAGTCTGTTAGGGTCCTAAGGCTAAAGTAACAGTACTAGTCAAGTATAATCTTGTAGAGTCATTATTACGTTATTATTACAATGTGTACGCTATTTATTTCCCTTGTCGGGAGTCGAACCTGGACCTGACGAATACGCGCTGAGTGTGTTACCGTTACACCACGACGGCAAGCTTAAAGGAGGGAGAAAGTACTTTATAATTTTGGAATGTTCCATATTTTAACTCGTTTTCATTACCCAATCTCTAGAAGCTAAAATGTAATCATTTATAATTATATTTTATTTCCTAGATGAGGTGCCACTTGTTTTGTTTTTCCCCCGTTTTTTTCATTACAGAGCGAGTCGTAATAATTTTCTAGTATTTTCTTAAGATTTATTCAGTCTATTTTTTCTATTTGTAACCTGTTTTTCATTTAAGTACCGGCCCACCAGCGGCCGAGCGGCGAAGTCGCTGAACACTGGTAGTTCGGTCCGAGGTTCGAATCCCGCGAACGTGCTGGCTGCATGGGCGTTTTCGTGTTTTTCCCGATGTATAACGTGTATACGAGCCAGTTCCCCTTAGAAAGTCCTCCACGAAGGCATCCCTTCCCTTAGGCAGGTAGCCCTCGAGGCTTTGCCATAATCACACACACACACATTTAAGTCCCCTACATGATCCTGCTTAAATAACTGAAAGCGTTTCCACTGTGAGAAAAATCTTCATTAATCAAAGTTATGTTTTCTTACATTCAATAATATAAGCTGTTATTATTATAGGATATTATATTGTTTTTTTATTACTATACATCATTTGTTATATTGTGTTATTATTACTATACATTCTCCAATATATTGTTATCATTCTAAACTAAATATGCGCTGTGTTCGTCAATGTTCCAGGACACGTACCTATCTGTTGATAAAGATATTCTCGTGAGCTATCACAATTTCTACTATATATATATTGAGAAGAATAGATACGTGAATAAAGAAGGATTAATAAAGCTGTTTTCTTCTGTTGTCCTTGGTGTGACATATTACGTAAATAAACAAAGCAGTAGAATTAGATATGTGTATTTATATGACGTGACTATATATTCACATTCCTTCATAACAGCTATTCCATTGCGTTATTTCTGTAAATTTTATCTTTCTAGAGTACTCGATGTTGAGCTCATCATTACATTTACATGTTTTTATAATTTTGCTTGCTAATTGTAGCAACATGAAAGATACTTTCTCTACTTATTATGTGCTTCGCCCTTAGGCACCACGTGGAAACGGAGAGGTGCCCCGTGGACATTTTTTAAGGGAAATTCGCTCCTATCCACGTTTAACATGGGTAAAACCACGAAAACGCTCATGCAGCCAGCCCGTTCGCCGGGACTAGAACCCCGGATCGAACTACCAGTATTCAGCGGTTTTTACCGATCGGCCGCTGGTGCACCGAAAGATACTATTGTACATAATTTGAAGAAAGTATTAAATTAATTAAAACAAATTAGTAGGACGCACAGACTGGTCTACAAAGTTCAGAATTACGTAATCTATAAATATTAATAGAAAAATAGTTACGCACAGTATATAAAATGTATAATCTTTGTTTACTCTATGACTGGTTTTTTTCATTGTAAGAATTAATTTCTATTATAAGAAGAGCTCTTTATCTAAAAAAAATTAAAACAGGTGTTCTCAACTGGGTAGGTATAGACTTCCTGAAGATCGATGAAATTTTAAAAGAGCTCAGTGATGATCAAGGGATCAGTTGGGAGCCGACATTCGAATATGCCCCGGCAGTTTATCGGCATAATAAGATCGTGTTCATTACAAAAAAAAAGTTTATTAATAAAATTCATCATTTATTGTTTGTCGATATAAAACTGTATTATATAATAAGGAAGAAAGCATATAAAATAAATATAATGGGAAAATACTCTGAAAATTTTTAATACATTTTTTAAATCAATAATATTTTTAAAGTCTAAATTTTTGTGCAATAATTGCAGGATAAAATAAAGTAAAACGCAAGAACACGCACGTATTCTTTTTAATTAAAAAAATATGAAGAACGCGAAATTGGAATAGAAAATGAGAAACAGATTGAATATTTTTGAACGACATGATTTAAAAGCTAAATTAAGCAACTATATGCCAAATATTAAAACAATTGTATCAATATGTGAAGCGCAGCCATGAGATTAATTAAAATATAACATTTGCGCAGTTAGAATCTGAAATTTTGTTTCCAAAAAACCTGTTTATATTTCTAAAGTAATTAAACTTAAATCTAATAAACAGTTTTTTCCAAGATATTTTTTCATACACTTAACCAAATTGCTATCTTTATATAATTTACTTGCAATTATTACTGGAGTATTATTACAGAGCGAAATATACTGTATATTATAGAGAAAAATTTAAGGGAGGTTGATGAAGAAAACGATTCCTTTTAAAGGCCTCGATGCTAAACAAAGTTGGGGAATCTCTGAATTAAACAAAAGTGGTCGATTTATGACAGTTCTTTCTCCACAATGATAATTTTATATTACAATACACAACATAATAGCTATTCGTTACTCCGTAATGGCCTATCAGTACACGTTGCTTTCATTCTGTTGGTGCTTTTTGTATTCAGTTTTTAGCATAAAATGCCCTTTTTCCCCTCAAGCTTAATGCCTTACTAAAAAAAAAGTCTTACATGCGAAATTTATTTTATGCCTCTTCAGCCCATTTTTTTTTTTTCAAACATGAGTTTCTAATAAAAATTAATTACACTGGTTCAATTTTGTGGAAGCATTATTTTAGTCTTTACTTTTACAGAGAAGAATATTTTGAACCTTTGATAAACTAAAATATAAGGTGCGAAAAGAAACTCCTTTTCGGTAATTACTATAAGCATCTGACAAACAAACAGAGGACAAGCCAATTATCCATTCGAATATCCAAATAGTCTTTAAAATGGCATTCTACTTTTTAACTAATAGTTATATAAATGGAAACTCTATAAGTTTTTGAAAACATTTATGTAAATTTTCATGCCCTTTTTAAAATTTTCCTTGGAGTATACTATGTAAAATATTAATAATATTAATAAATATTAAGTACAATTTTTCATGCGTCCAGTTTTCTAAATATATTCGTATGTATATATTAACCATATATCACATACAATATAGATATATTTTCCTGTATTTTCAGATACTGATAACAATGGATACCTCGACGTAAACGATTTCGAATGTTTGGCACTGGTAAGTCATTTTTATTTAAAACTACAAATAATTTAAGCATATTATGAAAGTATTTAATAAATTTGGAGTGCGTTTCGATCAGTATGTAATTAGCAGAAATAAATTTTACATTCATTTGTGCTAATTTCTCAATGTTAATTCTTTGTTTTTTAACCATTAAATCGCCGAAAGTTATTTTCCTCATAATTAAATGTTCTATTTGAAATATTCTTTTGAAAACATCTGGTGGATTAAAAAGCAATGGAATAAACTGATTTGTTTCCGTTACTTTACTTACTGTGTTATCATAAATAAAAGATTTTTAACAAATGACTGTTTTAAAAGAATCTTGGGGCAAATCTAGGTATAGATAAAAGGTCGCACGCGAACAGATAGACACAGCTTTGCGCCATCAGCAGGGGCAGCTGATTCATTAGAATCTAATTAAGCAGGGGCAGCTGATCCATTAGAAACTAATAAGCTATGCAAGCCCTGCTGGTGATTGCATCTATTTCCCAAATGCTCGAGTTCGGCGACCAACGGCGACAACGGCGTTATATTGCTCAAAGGATCAAGGGTCTTCTAAATACATTCGGCGAAAATACAAACATTATAAACGCCGCTAACATACATAATATTGTTACGAAACTAGTACATATATAAATGATTTCAGTGATTTTTCCCCTTCTAAATTGGCGCGATATCGAAAAGCTGCAACAGTTTTGTAAACTAAGTTTTGTCGCCAAATTGGCGAGGACTTTCTCAAAAACCACCAAACTTGGCGACAACTTCGCGACATTTTGGTCCGGTTCCCATATAACTGCAATGGGTATCGTAATTAAATAAATATAATTGATCTTTTATGCAACTATAACCGTATCAGGCCCTCATATGCCTTCCAGTAATTTCGAAAAGAACTAGAAATCTCTCGCGGCGGGGAGAAAACTACATAAGATCGAGAAGAGCATCAGTTAATAAAGTCGGGACTGAAAGCAGTTTTAGCATGATAGATTGGAGACTAAACGTTTCCAAATTTTCTAAATTTTTAATATTTCTCCTCCCTAAACATTCTTGAGTCATGTTTATAATTGATATATTTAAGGATCAAACATACTAATTTACCGTTAATGGCCACGATTATCTTTTCCAACAAAATTAATAAATTCAGTTTTGTTCAACGCAACTGAAGCCCAAATGGAGCAATCGACACCTTATTGTTCTCAGAGAAATCTGTAATCAAAACAATTATCACAGTATCCTAAAAGTGTTTTCGCTGCCCAGATATACGCCCATATATCAATAAAAGGCATATTTTCTCATTATTGTAGTTAGATTCCAAAAATAACAGCCAAGGTTTTGATTATAACCTTGCGTTAATTATCTTCAGGGTTATGTGAAGGGCGAATATTGTTCATCAAAACATTTGTCTAATTTATTTTATCCAGACTGAGGTGAGATCACTTTTCTTCCAAAGCACTTATTATCTGCAATATCATATTCGTTAATGAACTCAGAATCACTATAGCTTGATTACAAACATTCAAATTTCATGCTCAAGTGATATTACTCTTAACTGCAAATGAACGATATTTGAACATGCTGCTAGCTGGCAATATTCCATACTGAAATTTAATGAAAATTAGGAAAATAAAATTATTCTAATGCTAATCAAAATAAAAGCATTGAAGCTGTTTTAATTCAAATACCATGAGCGATAATATGATAATTAAATTTACTTATTAGTTCAAATTTTTAAGACACATAGATGTTGTTGAGAGCTGCTGGTCGAGGAGATTTCTTCAAACATTTGCTTCAGAAGAGTTGAAAGAAACTAATAATTTACTACAGAAACGAGAGCACATAGCAAAATTAGTAGCTGTAAATAACTTAAGAAGGACACACATGGAAAGAAAATCCATTTAACATGAGAAAACCATTGCAGATTGACGAGATCACCCATTCAGTAAACTCTGGAACACAATTCAGCTAACTCTGACCCGTATTCTCTCTGAAATAACTCAAAACTAAACTAGTAGTGAACTGCTACGATACTGCAGTATTGGATTTGGATTTCTACTACCTAAGCAGTACCTCTCAGAGCGATTAAAGAGTTCCTTACGGAGCCTTGGAATGAATGGTACGTGAAATGTGCCCTTCATAGGAGGTCTTCGATGATAAATGACTAATTACTGATTGTCAGAGTCGTATTTATTGATTGCCAGAGTCGTGCTTAGAGTTCTAGAAGCTTCGCGAAAAATCGCTGCCAGAGTTTCGAAAATGCGCTTTTCAATGACTTCCAAAAAAATCCTTAAATTAGAGGAAAACTGCAAAATATCGACAACTGAGTAGTTTCTAATTATACCTCGGGTTCTACTTGAGCTATTTTCTCAATTCAAACACTGCTGGATTCAGAACTTCAAGATACCTAATTCTGTACAAAAATTATGCGCAAATATTTGCAGAAATTTGCAACACTATTTCATCAAAGATTATTACCGTAAACACAAAATGAGAACGGTTTTCTTTCTGTAAAAATATCAGGTACCTATGTATTAATGCAACCAACCTGGCGCAGTTTGATCATCCTTTTACATAAGAAAAAGACTGATTACATATAATTGCAAAATATTAATTATTATATGCGTTTTGTATCCTTTAGTTAGGTATTTTTAGCGAAAACATCAACCAGTAAGACTACTTACAAACGAAGGTTTTGCTTCTTTTGCGCTGTTGCGCATTTTCTAGCCATATCTTTGAGGTTAGATCCCGTATTCCTGCAAAATACAAAATGTCTGCAGTAAAATATTTCATTGTAGGCAAATCCCATAGCCACAAATTTTAAAACTGAGTTTAATACAAAAAGGTATCACAGTTTGTCGATAAAAACCGTTGAAATTTTGAATAGAATAAATGAAACGCATACGAAAATGGCGACGTTGCTTAAATGAAGAACTGTTATACGCATGGCTGCCACAGTTTGGCGAATTCTGAAATTTGGCGTCTTCTACGAAAATGATTGCGATAATACTTAAGTACCAAATATTAATTTTGTCGTCACTTCTCATGTAAAAAATGTGAATTTTCTGTACATTTTCTTTCTGTCTTAATTGTACCCCAGTTTTATGAGAAATAATATCTGTATTGTATCAAACTGTTAATTAAATGAATACGTTTAAATATTCACTGAATTATTTTGATTACCGATTGGTGGTTTAACTGTCAAATCTGACGCTCGAATAAATGAATAATGAGCAAATATTTACATTGAGTTTCATCTGCACTGATTAATTTATATAAAATCAAATGATAACGTAACTGCATTGCAATACTTTTATAAAAAAATTTTGTAATGCAATTATTTTATCAGTTTATTTTAAAATAAATATTAATATATATATAATTCTAAAATTACAAAGTATGTGATTTTAATGTAAAAACGCAATTAATTACAGTGTGTATTGGAGCCCAATGATAAATTATAAAAAATCCTGACCACCGTCATCATCATTCAATTCGCCATTATTCGCATCAGAACTTGACAGCATACAAATTATCATCACTTATGTTGCTATCAAGATTATAAACAGTTTTTCGAATCAGAATCAATAGAGAATGGAAATATTTGCAACATTTCTTCAAGCAGAATATCAGTTTTCCACATTTATTTGCAATATTTTCTGCGTATTAATACTTAGGATTCCACTCCTTATACCAAATAGTATCTTTATTGTTTCCCAAATAAGCGTTTCAGACATTCAAAACCAACATTAAGAGTAATATGCCCTTCTTTCACATATCCTTTAACTGGTATCCCCATTAACTCAATATTTTATTAGACAATAATGTAGCTTTCTATCAACATATCTTCGAAATAGTGTTGTGAAAATTAATCAGACTCTTCCAGTAAAAATACATTAATCACAAAACGCCGATGCAACCTAGTCGTTCTCGAGTGTAGGAGATGCGGTCGAATAACTAGTGATCACGGATTTACTGCACCTCTGCTGCAGGCTGTAAATGTATGAATGAGTATAATCTATTCCTAATCATTTGTTATCATGATCTAAAATATTTTGCCATTCTCTAAATACTGCAGCTCTTAAAATTAATGAGTTCAAACGTCCCTTTTGTATGATGTGCATTTTACCAACCAATAATCATTATTATTTTCATTGACGATTCATGACATTCGTCTTCGTGATCATTATTTTCGTGATGAATTTGCGTAGCAGATCAAATTACAGTTTAAAAACTTCATTTCATAATTAGAATTTCCACAACTTGGAATCGATGTTTTAAACATTTAATCTACGTGCAGAACTTAATGCGTTAAAAATTGACGGATTGTCGCGTTCTGTCTTACGATAATTGAACCAATAGAACTTAAAAATGGCAACATCAAACATTGAAAGAATTCTCATGATGAAACTACACCCCCCCCCAAAAAAAAAATCCGAAAGCTTTCAGATTTTATATTACGCCCAAAGGGACTTTTCTTAATGTTTTGCGTGTTACCTTTCTTTATTGAATATCATGTTCTTCGCACTTAAACCATAAAATTTAATTCAGCAGCAATATCGCAAAACAATTTAACAAAAGCATATATTTACAATTTCCGATACATAGTCTCGCGCGCTGGAGATAAAAATGTTTTTTTCTCGTACAGTGTTGCCAATGCTCGTTTTGAAATCGTTGAGTTTCTTAAAACTCATAAATGCTTTACAAAATATGAAATCGATAATATAACAAATTCCAAATTAGGGCTTCCATACGCTCATATTCGGTGGAAGATTACGTTATTCAAAATTAGATGGCTCTAGGTACCGTTGTTTTATCACAATGCTAGAAACATACATACATTTATGCAGATTCTTCATTATTTAATTGCTTTGAATATAATACAGGGCGATAATATGTGGTGGCAACAATTTGAAAAGTGATTCAGAATTTTAAAGTTTTCAACGCAAAATGCCAAAACGAAATTAATAGCCTTTCTGGGCTAACGCCGTTCGCACAAAAAATAGAATGAACCTTTACTACGCATCCAGACTGAATTTTAAATCTGGAACTATGAATGCATTACAAAAAACTGCTATTCGATACCGATATTTCTAATATTTAGCAAACTTTAGAAAATTACAATTAAAAAAAAAAAAAAAAAAAAAAAAAAAAAAAATGACAAAAAAAACATTCCATTTAGAATATATATTTCCCCTTAAGTAAACAATTCTAAGTTAGCGAAAAACTAGTTAATTGAATTTCTTTCACAGTTCCTCTCTGAAATACGTATTTTTTTTTCCAGAAGTAGTTGAGGAAGTTAAAAATTTTAGTAATTACTCTACTACGTGTACGATGATAACAACTTTTCTAACAAGTTAAAGGCCTATTTAAAATACCATTAGTAGAACTCCGCAGTAAATATAAGCATTTAAATAAATAAGGATGCATTTTTTATATTTTCTTCTTTTCCAACAAATTTTTAATGACATTTCCTGTTTAGAATAATGTTTTTTATAAACTTTCATGCTAAGCTATTAGGAGTAAATCGTTAACACGCGTGTGTCATTGCATTTCGTAAATATTTTATTGTAGTAGAAAATTTTAAATAGCAATTTATCATTTGAACAATAGCAAAGGAAAGCTAAAATTAATAATTAAATAGTTAAAGTAATTAATGACAATTTAAAATAATAATTTAAAATTAGTAATTTTGGTGAGAAATTTGCATTCCGCCTTGTGTCTGCGCAACGCTGAAGAGATGAAACGTTCATTGTTACTAATCTCACTTTCTAATGCAATCAGGACAAGGCCACAAGTTATTATCGTCGCAAGGAATACAAGATTGCATCTGCCACTGGACAGAGCCTTGAGCTCCAAACAAGTAACAGTCCGACTTTATGTTTAGTTTGGCCCCAGTTTTAGAAAAGAGCACCTCAGTAACGGATAGGGAGGTCTCCCCCTCCTCTTGCCCTACCACAAACCTCTCAAAAAACTTAAAACTGGCTGCATATTTTGAGCCCCCCATTCCGCGTAAACACTATACATTTACAAATATCCATGCCTTTTTCCGGATTCGAACTCCGATTCTTTCGGTATGGTAGTCAGCGTCTGCAATCACTTTCCCGTCTGGGTGGCTGGTGAAATGTTCAGCGATATATAATTCCACGGGAGAAGCCAAGAAATGTGTGAAGATTGGGACTCGTCCCGATATGCCTGTCCGGCGTGTGTGTGGTCCTGATTATCAACGTGACCAGTAGCAGTGATTCTATCCAGCATGGTTCGGAGATTTGATGCATGAAACTTTGGCATGGAATATAGCTGCTGAAGACTAGATCAGGACTAGTAATCCACAGAGTGTCCCGGACATCATTTATATGAAGTATCGCACACAACTGTAGCCTGCTGACCTAAAGGAATTGTCAAACAAACTCTACAGATATAACGCAACAGTTTATATCAGTTAATCACCGATATCCATCTTTCTTTTTCTCACATGTCTTAGGCTGACACTCCCTGTTCATCTGTTTCACAAAGTTCAAAACAAGCACCCATTAAAACTCATGTTTCACCGACATCAAGTATGTACCTTACCTTATGGTACGCAACCACGTTTACTTCCACGTATTACTCTCAACAATAAAACAACAAATTTAAAGTTGAAGAACAATAATTTAAAAATAAATTTTTAAAAATCTTCAGATTTTATATTATGCCCAAAACAGCCTTTTTTTAGCGTTTTGTGTGCTACTTTTATTTATTAAATATCACAATCTTCGCACTTAAACCACATAAAATTCAGTTCAACAGCAATATTACAAAATATTTAAAAACAGCATGTGTTTAGAATTTTCGATAGACAGTCTCGCGTGCTGGAGATAAAAATGATTTTTTTTTTCTGTACAGTATTGCCATTGTACATTATTGTTTATCAAAAGTTCGTTAAAGTTTTACAAAATATGAATAAGACAAAATAAAACAAATTCCAAATTCGGGCTACCAGGTGACCATGCTCGGGTGGAGGACTAGGTTATTCAAAATGTGATGTCTCTAGGTACCGTTGTTTCTTCGTAGTGCGAGAAATATACATGCATTCATGAAGATTCTTCATTAATGCAGGGTTCTAATATTTATTTGGTGGCAAGAGTTTGAAAACTGATTCAGACTTTTATAGTAAACCAACGCAAAATTAGTAGCCCTTCTGGGCTAACGCCCTTTGGGGCTAATAATAATTATAATTAAATTAAGTCAATATTAAAATAATATTCATTATGCATATGTGATAATAGTTTGAGGTCTGAGGTAGAAGATGGTAATTTTGATCGAGATGGATGATATTGTACAATAAATATACAATTTCATCTTTTTAATATATCACCATAATAGTAGAAATAGTATCATAGTAATAGAAATAGTAGCATAATTGAAGAAAAAGCGCCTAAACGAGCACACTTGTTGTTCCATAATACCTTGCAACTTCATAGTCATGATCGGAATAGTGGTTAAAGATGTTGCCTGTTGTATCTTTGGCCCTGAGTCCAAATTCCAGAGAATGCTTGGATTTTTGTAAATGCATAGCGTTTTTGCGGCATGGGAGCACTTAACATATACGGCGAGCCTCTTTTCGGAAAGTTTAATGGTTGGAAATAAAGTTGGGCACCTTTGTACCCTTCCTGGATGTCATTGGAATAAAACTGGACAAAATCTCACTCTCACCTATATATTACACGAGGCCCATGACAATGTCTCATGTAATCATGTACTCCTCGCTTCGATA